GTATCTTAATACTTCACTTTCCAAAGAGTTTCTGGTCATAGAAGCTAGTTACCAGCAACATCGTACAATTTCTGCAAACCGTTTCTTATTGGGTTTGGTCCCTGACAAGATACATTCAATCTCTCCCATGTAAATAATGTTCATATTTTTATATTAATATTTTTAAGTAACTGAACTTTCCCTTGTATAAGCTCAGATTTTGATGAGTGAATTTTTGCATTCGTTACTAAAGCCAAAGTACATTAGATGAATCTTTAAGGTTTTTTGCAATTGTATTGATGTAAAATAACTTTTACAACTACTTTTCTTAAAAGTTGTTTAATCTCTAGAAACAATATTGTTCAATAACATACTGTCATAGTCTTTTTCAGGCTTAATTTCATTTAATAGGGTTTTTTTGTTGGTTTTTTTTCTTTGAAAAACTTTTTATTTCACTGTGCAGTAGTTTAAATAAGCTTAAGATTAAACCTGGCTATTTAGAATTTACTGTAGAAACTGTTCTGTGTATGAATGCACTTTGCCATTATGCCATAATACAAAACAACAGACCAAATTTTGTTACTGAGAGGCAGATGCCAGTTTAAACAAACTAATCCAAACCTTGTATAAGCAAGCTTTTCTTATGTCGACTAAGAACAAGATTCAAGTTAAACCAAAGAAACCCTGCACCAATTTAATAAATGCAGTTTATGTTCACCTTTAGTTGAATCACTATGAAAACAATACTGAAAATTTGAAGATCTAAACAAATTAAGTGCCTAATCCTCTGAGGTTAGACAGACACTGGGCCACCTTCAAACTCCAATGAGGCAAACTCTCCTGGTGAAGGTCTTATTTCGATACACATGTATCGCTAATTATCAGTTTCAACATGCTTCTACATACATCCTAAAACTATTTTCTGTTTCTAAAACTGTGTATATAAACTTGGAACTTTTCAAATAAATCTGTGACCTGTACTTAAAATATACGGAAAGTCATTAATGAACACAAATACATTCACTACACTATCTGTAACATGTATTTTAAAGAAAAATTAGCAAAGAAATTGCAAGCTAAATTTTCAGTTTGCAAGTCGAATTTGGCATGGAATACCAATCAACTCTAAAAAAGGAGCTTCCTTCAGTGAAGGAAGTTCACTGCAGACTAATTCATCCGTACTTTAGCTCCATATTAGAAACCTCAGAATTCCCTCTGCCTTAAAGCTGCTGTCCAGCTTATCAAAACTTCTACAAAAGTTTAACTAAAATAAGGCTGTTCCACTGTATAAACACCCTGTGTAAATTTGCACAGTATGCACTATCAGTCTAAGTAAAGCAAACCCCGACTAAGTATCATTCACTTAAAACTATGAGTATGCATTTCTCATTGATTCATTATTCAGGTAAGAGACATCCTCAGCTGCCTAAACATTACTAGTAGGTATAAGGATATGTATAGTAAGGAAGCAGAGCTACATTCAATACAATGTAGAGTTCCCAGATTTTTTTTTCTAATTTTTTGTGCTATGGTGTTTTGAGCTAACAGCTCAGCCAGAGCATTGCAAGAAGTTTACCATTACACACTAAATTACAGGGATAAAGTTTCTGAGCTGAGAAACAAAAAAAAAGAGTAACAACATTGATCTTTAATTTAATCTTTCATAGAGAAAAGCTTTTCCTAGGTTATCAAAAGACAAGAGTATCCATCTGAGTTTGAACAAAGGGAATATGGTAACAGAAAAAAATCCAATTAAATTACAACTGCAAGGCAGTAAGAAAGTATGAGGTATCAAGTTGTATACATCAGTACATGAGGAAACAAGGAGAAAGAGCTGCTTTCTAGCCCAAGTTTAAAGCTTCAAGTTTAGGGACATATGCTACTAAATCTATAACTTCCAAACATGAAATTATAGAGTCTAGTGTCACCGCAGCTGGTTTTTAAACTACATTAAACTATTTGCCTCACTAATCTCTGGAAGCAGAAAGTTTTGTAGTTTCCCTCATTGTAAAAAAATCTCATGCATCTCTTTTATTGTTAATTTGAATTGCTTTAAGTCAACAAGGACAAACTTTTTGGTGGTTTTCCATACAATTCGAGTCTTTATTCTTGAATTCATCTCTATACAAATACTGTTCTTAAAAACAAGCTCCAGTGGTGAAGTCTACCTCATCTCCATTCCTCAAATTAAACAAAAACAGGCTGAACAGAACCATGAAGACTAAAAGTACTCAAACAGCTCTCCACAACTTGATTTCTGTCCTTCCTAACAGAAATCCTTCTAACTCAATGTCCACAAACAAAATATTGTAGGACTCCAGTTCCTTTCGAGTAAGAAAATCAGTCCTAAAGTTTATCTAATTATTCTCTTGCTGCAATTTATACCCATTTCCTGTAGTCTTGTTCTGATCATGGAAAATAGTTGTCAAAAGTGAAGGTTTTCTTTTAAGAGGAAGAGAATAAGCTTTCAGTTTTGTCTTCTCTCAACGAAATAACCTTAGTTCTTTCAGTCTTTCCCTGTCAGTCTTATTTTCTGTTCTTCTCAGGATTCCTAAAGCTAGCTTTCTTTAAATAAACTTTTAAGTTTGATGTCCTGAGTACCCTATGTGTCATAATTTTAGTATCAAGTGAGATGGAAGGATTACCACACTCTGTTTACGATCTCTTTTTCACCATCTTGTTATACTGAGCTAAATAAAATTGTTGGTTGATGGGGATGACCCATATGAACTCTTAAGTCCTTTCCTGTATAACTGCGGCCTACAAGTGACTCCCTATATCTTGTAGTTACTTATTCCTAACTAGGAATACTACTTTGCACTTGTCCTAATTTCTTAAATCATTCTGTTGACAATTTGAACATAAGTCTGTCTTTCAAAGTACAACACAGTTCCTCTTAACATCACTGTGTTAGCTTTTCTTCCAACTTCTGAAATTCATTCCTTTGTCTTTCTCCAAATTATTATAATCAACTTTGAATTTGGATTGGATAACTTATGTAAAGCAAAATTGAACAAGGCAGATTTGCAAATTAAACTAGAATATACTGCATGCAGTATAATTATTTTTTCAAATTAATTCAAATGGAAAACAAGTCCATTAAAGCAAAAGGAAAAAAAAAACCACACCCACAGAGAAGGGACAATATCAATGGCTATTCTGCAGCCTAGATCTGCTCAACGATAATAAAGGTTTGATCTGATGAAGATATAACATGATTTGTCATTACCAGTTATATTCTTCACTAGCTGCATGCCATTTTATGTCCAAGTCTTTCCAAATTCTATCCCTACAAATTCAGACTATCCTCTTTTACTCATCCTTCACAATAGCATACCTTTCTGCCTTCTGTATAACTCATTCTTGCAAAGGAGTTGCAGTTTAGTCAAGATAGTCTCCGATTACGTTTCTTACCCATCTTTTTATATAACAACTGCTGGAATTCTTAGCAGTGTTTTATTAAGAAACTTCCAATTCCTATAAAATCATTCTTCCTTAGACTTTTATGCCTCTCTCTTTCCCAGAAAGACCTTGCCACCATAACTGCGTTCTCTCCTCCCCCTCCTCTCCTATCTTAACTTTATATTCTTCCACCTCAGTAATAGAAGGCTACATCTTATGCAATCTGACAAATTAAAAATTTGCATACAAACCTATGTATATTAAAATCACCTTCACAGGCAGCAATATATTTTCACTGCACCTCTGCAGAAAAAGAAGGCTATGAAGGATACAACTATCATCCCCATTCTACATATACAAAAACTCGACCTAAAAAGTTGAGAGATGGTTTCACAGCACAGGTCAAATCACTGGCAGAGCTAGGATTCACTCATGTCTTTTGCAGTCCTATACAATATCAAACTTGCATGAAACTTCCCGTTTAGATAAAAAAGTTCTATTACATGAGGCTATCCTGATTCCCTGACAGAGCTCTTCACTTTTGGTTTTGTTAGAACTAAAATAGAGGCTTACCTTTGGATGACTTCCTATTCCTAAAGTTGGGGGGGGGGGGGGATTAACTGTTTCATCTTTATCATACATGGACAAAAGTAATTAGAAAAGGGAAATCAACTGAAGGCCAGCTGCACAAAAATTTTCACATGCAAAACAGATACTATATCAGACATGAACTCTTTTCATGGAGACAGAATAATAAACTGTATTAAATACCATATTTTACAGTCTCTTCTAGAGCAAGTCAACAGATTTTCAGAATAGAAAAGATTTGGCAACCTCACTTACTAGTATGAAACACCAGTTTTGAAACCTTTTTGAAAATTAGCGTTCAACTTCTCTGTTCAACACAGGACTACCAGATGAGATCAAAAGAACCATCTAGCCCAAGATATTGCTGTAAAAGTGCCCAATAGTGGATGTGTACTACTATGTTATGCTCTTGTTATTTCAACCCTATAAAAAAATTGACAAAACAGAGAACTACCACTTTCACATTAATATCTCTGTACTTCAGTGTATGTTGATACATACAGAACACACAAACAATTCCTCTGCCCTGTTATTTCTCTTTCCATCCTTATATTTCAAAAACCCAGGAAAAACTTAAACAGTTCATGTATCAATTACATAAAATTGGCCTCTGAAATTTAATCAGAAACAAACAGCATAAGCTACTAGCTTTAAAGTGCAAGTTAGTCATCAATTATTTAATATAGTCTATTTAAATAATGACAGTGACACAATATAGAGACATACAGAAATATTTTTATACAACTGTACAAAGAAACATGGGAGGGAGGAACCAAAAAGAAAACCCCGAGAAACTAATTTCATTTTGGAAAGAAAAATTTATTAAGTATAAAAAAGGCACATCCAAGACAATGCTTTTGACAAAGGTACCTTAAATATCCTTATAGGTATATTTTTTATTCTAGAATTCAATACTATAGTCATTTTTCAGCACACTCACATCAGGAAATTCCAGTCTATTGCCACACATTCAATCTCTAATACTATAAACTGTTAATTCATGAACTTACTAACATTCAGCAACAACTCACCATCTGAAATTCGTGAAGGGAGTAACAATCCTCTTCTGCCTAATTCAGCCAGAGCCAGGCATCCACCATGCCATGCATTGTCTGTTTCCTGGAAACTAATTTCAGAACAAAGACAAGTTTTGTTACGATTAGCCTTCTCTTTTTGGATTTCCTTTTTCATGGTGAATTCCTAACATTTTAAAAGACACATAATCCAAACTAGTACATGTTTATTGTCTAATTAATCCTGTTAGACTTCTAAAATATAAAAATGACAAGTTGAACATGTTTTCTTTCCCATTTTGTGCAGCATAAATACTGCTGTAAACATGATCAAATAAGCAAAAAACCCCATTTATCAATATAAATGTAACCTCAATACAAGAGTCCAATACCTGAAACTCATCCAGAAAAGGAAAACAACTTTCTAGTACAGTGGCAAAAGATGCAGATTTACAGAACATACCCAAAATAACTAATGAATTTAGTGCCAAACACAGTCCTCAACTAGCAAAAGAGGTTCAAGTGATAGTTTCCAATAAATATACTGGAACACACTATATGAGCTTATACAGTGAGCAAACAGTGGTGTTTATCCACCTTTAAAAACATTAAACAAAGCAACTTGTAGTGAACACAAAAACATCAAAAATAGGACACAATTTTTGATGGACTGGCAGATAAAGGAGTGAAAAGGGGAAAGGCTGCATGATTGCTAAACATGCAAAAAGTTCACTGTGTATTAAACTAGGAACAGGAATCTAAGAATGAAACGTTGAACAGACTAGGTCCTATCAAAGCCTCCTCTCTCCCATCCTCTCACCCAGTATCCTGTCTCTGACATTGACCAATAGCAGATGCTTAGCCAAAGACAAAGCATAAAGGATCATTCCCTTATTAGCCTCCTCCTAGCTTTGGCAAGCAGCAGTGCAGAGACTTCCCAAGCCAGGGGTTGCAGCAAAAATGTCATATTTAATACGCTCTGATGGGACTCTTTTCCATTAATTTATATAATCTCTTTTTGAACTCCCTTTACAATTCTGGCTTCCATAACATCCTGTGGCAATGACTTCCACAGTTTAATTATAATTGTGTGAAAATGTACTTCCTGATGCTTCCCAGTTCTTGCATTATGAGAAAGAGTGAATAGTAAACAATTACTTGCTTTCCCTCTTTCTTCCATATCTATGATTTTATATACCTCCATTATATCCCTCTACTTTTTCTTTCCACTTGGAAGAATCCCCATCAGTTAAATCACTTCTCAGTGATTCAGTTTTGTTTTCTCTTCCTTTCCTAATAACATCTAGCGTTCCATTTGCCTTCTTTTTCTGACAGCTGCTGAGCACTCCACTGACATTCTGACAGAACTATTAGCGACTTCAAGATCTCTTTCCTAACTAGTAATAACTGTTTTACAGCTAGCTGCATTTTTCCCCTAAGTGCATTAGTTTGTATTCATTAGACATTATATTTCATATGCTATTTACTGTCTAGTTACTTAACTTAGGTTTATATAATATTTTCTTTTCTGTCATCTTTAGTTTTCACCGCATTAGCTAACTTTAAATCATCAAATGATTTCATCACTCCATTGTTCACCTTTTTTCCAGGATCCTTTATAAGTATACTGAACGGCACAGGGCTTATACAGACCCCTGCGGGACTGTGCTGATAATCTCACTACATTGTGAAAAACGATCACTTATTTCTTCCCTTTCTCTTCTCTTTTAATCTATCTACATATAAGAAATCCATTCTTCTTATCGCAAGAGGTATAACAAAGTGCCTCTGACTAGCAACTGACTCATTTTTATTCTGGTCACTAGATATTTAGTGCAAAGAATATAGAAGAGATTCCCTTTGTCCTTGTCAACATTTGTTCCCAGGTGCTTCTGAAGAAAGCAGGTCACACAATTACTAGTTGGATTACTCATCCCTATGACTTGAAAAACAGAGAAAGAAAACACAGTGAGTACAGGTCTTTGAAGCTCCAGGGATAATTGAGATCATCAGCACCTCTTAAATTAATCACAGTAACACAGTGGAAGTATCACCTAAGTAGATACTTTCTTTGCAAGTTCTTAAGAGTTTATACCTTTTTTAAATGTGTTATCCTTTGACCTGGTATTTTTAATTTGTACTCACAACCAATATGAGAAGATTTTTTAAAACTGAGTACATCTGAGTGACAAACTGAACATTGCCAATATTTTTTGTCAACAAAGAAACTCTTTTTGTTATTAGCCTACTCTAAAATACCAGTTTAGATCTTAAAGCTCAATTACTCAATGTAGACCTGGTGAGCAATTTGAAATTAAAAAAAAAAAAGTATATGATACTTGTTTAATAACTTAGCCCTCTACATCCTCTACACTGATGCAGAAACAAGACATCCAACAATAAAGCGCATCAAAGACATCCTAGCAACTACATGCCCAAGCGCCTCTCTGACATGGCCAACAGTATATGCCTTAAGTATAGTACAAGAACAAGCATATTGCAACACTTTCCAGACTCCAGCAGATCATGGACAAGTCTGCAGAAACTGTCAGCATCCACAACATCCTTCGACAAGAGGTTTTTACAGTTTAACTATGTGCTGTGTGAATAACCACAGCCAAACCTGCCACCTGATACTTTAGTTTGCATTCAATAATGTATAATCTAAAGAGCAATCATCTCCATCCCATTCATGATTTCATAAACCTCTATTATACCCCATTTCTTATCTCTGGTGATGCTCAGAACCCTTTTGAATACCATTTCCAGTTCTACTGTAATTCTGAAGATGCACACAACACTCAAGACACGAGTACACCAGGAAGTTTTAAAGCAGCAAGTTAATGAGCATTTTTTACTTTTATTTTTCTGAACTTTAGAATGGGGTCGAGATGAAGGATTAGGAATAATTTCTTTATTGAACACCCTCAGCATATCCGTGCCTTAGAAGATTTGGAAATCTGGGAGAAGGGCAACAAAATTTACAGATTTTTAGATCTGTTTTCCTAACTGTTGTCCTCCTGTTTCATAAGCAGACATGTTTCAGATGCATGCAAAGCATGAAATAAGATTTTTACCTAAAACAGTCCAACAGAGACCCAATCACGTCATCTGCTAATTCTTTTGGAAGTCTTCCAGTTATTCTACCAATTCTACAGAAGTTAAAAGGAAAAAAAAAAGCATACAGTGATTCATTAGTACTACATTTGATGAATAACTCCTATAAAAAATTTAGTTGCTGGAAACTTACAATAAGATTACAGATTTCAAGATGACAATGCACTACCCTAACACCATTACCCTAAAGCAAGAGTCTCAAATTTGAAGCAAAAGCTACACAGTAGCGAACTTACAACAGAAATACATTTTTTTAAAGTGGAAGAGAAGAACACATTTTTAAGAAATGCTACTTTACACACTTTAAATCAAGTCTTATGCAGAATGTTTATTTCCAAACCTATCTGAATTTTTCCTGAAGACTAGCTCCATTTCAGATCAGAAAAAGATACAAACATGGCTTTATACCATGAGCTGTACTAAAGCCATTTGAAGTAACTGTGAATATTGACAATACACACAAATTATCAATCATGGATTATATCAGACTGTATTTCTATGTTGTTTCGTTTATTAGTTTAGAGTAACCATAAGAAACCTACCCTTTTGCTGCAGACCACCTGACAATAGTGTCTTTGTCTTTCAGTCCAACCAACAATTGCTCTGCAGATAAAATGTTCAAAATTCATTTTCCTCTTAAGAAAACCACCTCTTAGTTTAAATAAAAATATTTGTATCTAAATGTCTTCTATTTGTCACAGAGTATGACTTGAAATCAAAGAAATAAGAAAGATGTCAAAATCATTTTCTAAAAGAGAAAATTTGGGTTGAAATTTTAAGTACTATGGAAGATTCAAAATGGAGGTTATGGTGGTTTTTTTCAGTGGTTCATTAGATTATTCTGTTATAAAAGTCTTCTGATGCAATTTTTGCTTATTTATTTACAGCATAACCATCAGCAAGCTAGCAGAGGACCTGCTGTATGACTGCATACTAATAAAAAAAATGCTGTTCCTGTGATACTACCACAACTTAAAAATTTCAACCATAATTCTTTAGCTTTCAAGTAACACAATTTTTTGTTTTGTTTTTCATTATGAATTTCAATTCATCATTCTATCTGTGAAAGGTTCAAGAGATCTCTTTCATATTACTGGATAAAATAGGCAAAATGTATTTCAATAACTCCACCCCCCAACTCCACAACAAATGCTACAGTATTGAGTTTCTGCTTGATATGCTGAAATCCAAATCATTTGACAAAAATATAGTAGATTTTATTCAGTTGCGTAGACTGAAATTTTACAGTCTTTCCAATTGTTCACATTAGCACAGATACCCACATGACTTTCTTAGCCCTAAGCAGGTTGTTTTCCAATATATGTTTAATTTGCAGGCATAACAATAATTTCTGTCCAGTTTTAACACACCTACAACATTTTCAATCTCTCCTGGAATGTCATATTCCTCTTCATCATCAGCTTCGTTAGCAGCAACTGTTATCATTTGATTCTGCACAACTGAACCTTGAGCTTGCAGATTGGCAGCCAGAGATCGACAGCCACGCTGGTATCTGCACAAGAAACAAATCAGAAAAATATATTAACTGTGTCTAAATTCCAACTGAAATGGGTACATATCGTCATAAAGCCTGCTTGTCAAGTTACTACACCTCCCAGTAGCTCTCCAGTTATTTAGTGGTTGCTTTAAAAGAAAGAGAAAAGCATCCCATTCTCCTTTCTCCTGACCCAGTTGTCTCTTTTCCAAGGTGAGAAGAGCAAGACTATTTAAATGGTTCCTTTTCATTATCTCTCCCTTTCCTGCTTTAGTATAACCTACTTTCCATTGCCGACAATAAAGGGAGGCAAAATTCCCATGCCCTAAAAACCTCCCCCAAACCTAAAAAAAAATAGATTAATAAAATCAACTTATTAAAATTTGTTTTTTAAATGTTAAAGCTAGCTTAGTACTTTCTGACCAAGCTGTACTCAGATATTTAGCCTGTGGTGTAGATACATACTTACAAAAGACATACTTTACATGCTAAACTGACTTTTGCCATTGGGCAAGGTACACTCTCCACCTAAAAAGAATTTTCTATGCCTAAGGACGTTCTCAAAAGTTGGTAAAAGAAATACAACAAAAATAGTCACCAAGGGAGCCTGCAATTTTAAAATATCAGTGCGAGAAATCTAAAAAAGAGTTTGCCCTCTGGCAATAAGTAAGACCAGACACCAAAACCTGACTAATATGCAAAATGAAATTGGGATTGCAAACCACTTTTCCCCTGTGAACTTTCTATCGAATCAGGGTAGAACTATGTAATGGAAAAAGTTATGCTGACTCTTACAAAATTGTACTAAATCAACCGCAGTAACAAAGGTCACTGTCTTCCCATCTTTACCAAATTATGCATTATATAGGAACAGGCTTCTGCTTGTGTAACGTGCTACGTGAAAAGTCAAAAGATTTGGCTTGTCACAGCACTAGTTTACTATACCAAAACTGAAAAAAATTACAGGAAACTAAATACAGTAGAAGATATCTACTTTTTCCAAATAGAGCAAATGAAGAATGTGTTCATCCCCATAACATGGGGATTTCTTTCTTTCTCTTTTAGGGGAGATTAGGAGGGCAGAAGGCCAGTAGTCAAATGTATGTATTTAAGTATTTCTGAGTTTTTTGAGTGCTTTTGGATTTATTTTTTTAAAAAACTGTTTCAGCTTTAAACTAACCTCCATTTTGCTACCTTCGGTTTCACAAATGTCAGGCCAAGTCGTTGAACAAGTTTCATCCCTAGCTTGCGAAGAACCATCTGATTACTTTCTGACAGCTTGCAGTTATCAAGACACTCAAGTACCGTAGCAGCTGTAAAAGAAAATACACATGCTAGAAAAACTGGTTTTAAAAAAATTTCAGTAAGAAAAATTTGTAAAGTTTTAAAAGTTTTTTAGAAGATTTAGATTTAGTCTTATTACCTATTTTGTAGTAGCTTTGACACAGGTCAAATAGTGGTAATACCCTTCACCTACCAAACAGGAAGGATTGCTTTAAGGATTACTTTTGACTATGAAACTTATAATGAATCTGAGAGTATTTATGCCTCTAATTCTCAGTGGAAGTAACACATTCAAGTATCTTTCAGGGTCTAAGAACTTTCAGTAGTCTAACAGAACCAGGAGTCAGAAAATCTAATTCATTTACTCTGCAGCCAGTTTCTGCATACTAAGAAAGCGTTCCCTTTCCTCATTCATTATTTTCAAGCAGCATCAACTTAACTCCTCTGGAACAGAAATTTTTATGACAACTAATGTCCATAAACATTTAGACATGAGAAATACTGTGTATGTGTAAACAATCGGCAGCAAAACCTTTCATTTGGGCACATCAAAGGTAACAAAGTTATTTGTCCAGCAAAGTAAAAAAAACACAGACGAAAGAAGAATCTTAGATTAATGAATATAAGGTTCCAGAATTCAAAATTTTCACAAGGAACACATTCCTGTTGCAAATAAAATAGTCCTTTTGCCTGAAACAATTAACGACTATTTTGAAGGCTGATCATTAGTTAATAGAGAATAACAACTTGGGCTCTGAAGGACGTACCATTCTTGCTATAAACACTGCAAATATGGAATCATACTGGCAAAATACTCTGCAATCTCTTACTACAGTCTCGAATCAGGGTTTTCAAAATATTAAGAGATCAAAGGTATAACAATTATTTCAAAATCTGAGAAACTGTAGGATGTGACTCAAAAATCTCAGGTTTTAAAAAGGCTTATTATTTACTCTGACGTACTAAAATATTAATAAAATAATACATTCAGACAAAAGGGTAAAGCCAGTAATGAATATTACTTCAATACCTTCCGGCAACCTGGATTTTTTTGCAGTTGTAAAGCTAGACAGACTAAGAGTTTAGGAAGAAGAGACTGCAGCAACATCAACATTCACAGATAGAAAAAAAATTAAGAATATATAAATATAAGCCTCTTCCAAGTCCTGCCAACTCTTGAATCACTAAAATATCTCCAGACCCATGCAAATGGCTTCAGAACTAGCGCTCATTTTTAAAACAAGTTCTATGTTGCAAAAGATTTCAAACAGTATCTTCCTTTGACATTTATCTATTTTTTCATATTTGATCCTCAGATTTGTTATAACCTGTAAAAATTAAAATTCTTTAATATTTTTTGTGTCTCACATTTTCTTATACCCAATAGTTTCTTTATGAATATTTGCTTCTTATTTGTAAGCATTCTCTCTTTTCAATAGTAGATTTATTCATCGGTATGCCCCTGATTTTTCTCTTATTACCAGACTCATAACTACTTAATATTCTTTCTATATGCCATAGGCCAAAACATCTAATTTTACCAGCAAGGTTAATGTTGTGAGCCAAGTATCTTCTTTTCATATCGATTATGACTATTGTCTTGTACAGTTGTACTTTTTACATTACATAATTTTGTGTTATATCATATTTTATCTAGCCCGTTTATTTTTCTGCTTATCCGGCAGTTTTATTCCTCTTTAAGTTTCCCCAGTGCTGTCTGCCATTTCTATGCGATGACATTCTTCAGTATTTTCTATTCGTTCCTGACCAGTTGTACAGCACATATGTCATTCCATTCTGTTTGGCTTCACTATCTTATCTCCATCTTTACCCATATCTCAGGCATTTTGTATGGAAGTATCTGCATCTCAGACTTAGTAGATGGGAGAATAAAAACATTTCCAGCACTAGATCTACGAAGTTTCTTCTTGGAAGACAAAATAAATACCATTAAGTAAAATCATAAGCATTCTAAAGTGAGTTTACATCATTGCTTGATTCCTATGAATAGCACTGCTGGTGTTTTGATAAGCTCCACAAAACTGACAAGGTCTTTTGTAGTGTTTTGTAATTAGCCATCAGTAAAAAACAAGCTAGTATTTTGCAGTCAGTTCTGACCATATTCCAGGATTCACCATGAGATTAATATAAACTCAAACATGCAGCTACACTGTTCAGAACTTCTGTGCTCTCCTTTTGGGTACCTGTCTATCCTTAACTGCATCCATTATAATCTCTTTTCACTAAAATTTTTTTCTCAATAGTATCACTACACGATTCCAGCCTGGTCCTGTACACAGCAGATTCTTTAAACCTGGGTTTTCCAAAATCTTGCTCATGTTAAAACTTGAAGATTTTCTGCAAACTTTTCAGCTGCAATATGTATAAAACTAGTTTATGTTCTAATGCATTTTTTAAAAAATTTTGCACGTCTTATAGTTTATATATTCTGTGTTCAGCTTTTGTATTATAGCAATGGCAAATGTGACAACCTGCCAAATTCTTTGATGAGCTGTTCCAACATAACATTCCCCAGTGGTGGCTGGTCCTCCCTCACTGTCATCTCTTCTTTTTTTCCCCTCATTTTGCATGCTTTATAACTCCCCTGTTGATTTCACTCTTTACAGCAACCACTTGTTATTAGTTTAATCTTCCTTTCCCTTTTTTATTGGAATGGCTATAAAAACAGAAATCAAGACATTACAAACTTACCATATGGTAAACAATCTTCTCTTTTGCCATGTTTAAATAACTGTGCCTACAATCAAAACAGGGAAAACAGACATAGGAATATAGAGATTCTGTAGCACAATATATCAAGCATGTAGTTTTATAATACTTTTTAATGTTTTTGCAATAATCGGTAGTGTTTATTAATTAAATAGCACAAAAGGAAAAGAGTCTCGGGGTGCAGTTTTACTGCTTTGTAAGTCAATGCAGTCCCCTCCCATCCATACAGTCACGCAGGCAGCCATCTCAGGGAGCTGAGATAGCCAAAAACCACTCAAGAGAGAATGAACACCAAAGAAAAGAAAAAGAG